TTTTTAAAAATATATTTGTGTTTAAGAAAAACACCTTTGTTGAATTTGAGGTGAAATATTTGTAAACTAGATACGCTAGGTCTATGATTTTTAAAAAATGCCCTGAAAATAAGTTTGCTCTATATGAAAATGTTGGTGAAATAACATTAAATAAATATAAAAAGACATTTGAAGGACATTTAACATAATACATTATCAAGCCAAATTGTTAATTTCTTTCTATTTGATAGAAAAATATAATTTTGAGTATTTTGGAAGTTTACTGAATTTCTCCTGATAAACAACTGGAAAAGAAAGAGATAAAGATTTTCAAGTTGTTTAGTTTAGTTAATGTGTTTAGGAAATGTTAGGTTTATAACCATTTTTTTTTGTAAAAAAAAAAAAGGTATCTTGCTATAAATTGATTTTTTTTCCGGATGGAAATGGGAGGAATGATAACAGAGATGTAATGATGTAAAACAAAAAAACCTTTTGGTTTTAGAGAATAATCTTTGATGAATTTAATGTGGAAATGGTTGAAAAAATACTAAAACATTTTTTAGGATAAAACGTTTTTTTTTTTGTTATATATTTGAACTTGAAAAGGAAGTTCTTTTTTTAAAACATGCAGTGGTAAACATATTGGTCTCCATGGATACCTTAGTAGAATGCATTAAACAGGGTTTTAAGGTAGCATATATTTTTGACTTTAATGGAAGGTCAAAGGTGTTAAAAATGAGCGATTTTAAAAGTTTCTGGTTTCAGAGGATCGTTTTTGGTGAGTTTGGTATCAAATCCTTGGAAAACAAGGAGGCTTCTGGCCCCTTCTGTCAGGGAAGGACTCGAAGAACAAATATGGTCTCCTTAATACAACAATAAACAACTTTAGCTTTTAAAATTATTTTGAAAGGCAACATATTTCTTTTGATATTAATAAAATGTTTTAGTTTTTGTTTCCTAAAAAACTTTAATGTTTGCATTTGACCAAAAATCTGATCCTTTCCATTTTTGGGCAGTAAAATGTTTAGAACTTGGCTGAGTTTATTATACGTGCTGTCATTGTGACGAAAGCATAAAGAATAAATGTTTGATTCAATATATTATTTAAGCATATTTCTGCAGCCCTTGTTTTGATCTTCAGGTGAATGTAAATAATTTAAACTTATTTGTCACCAGAAATAATACTTTGTTTATAGATGACTTTATCATTTTCTAGATCTTCAAAACATTTAACGCTGGATGCTTTCTTCTAAACAATTAAAAGTTCTGTAAGATCCCCTTTCTTAGATTTGCAGAAAAAAGAAAAAGAATCTGAATAGTTTGGCATAAAGTTTGCTAATGTCCATTTCTGCTCTGGGCTTCCTATGTGTGTTAATGAAGGTTTTTATTTCTACTCAAGGATGCACTGAGGAAGGGGTCTGATAAGCTGAGGTTCTGATTCTGATCATTTTAGATCTGAAATTTAAAGCCTGGTGTTTTTAAACCTTTATTTCTGTTAATTAGGATAATTATATGCTTATAGTAAATACACTTCTAAGGTTTATGATTATATTACTATATCACCCGATGAAACTTTTTTTTTCTGATAAAGAAATATATTTATTGGATCAAAACAATTCCTAATTTGGTAGTATGGGTTTAATGCAAAGAATGTTTACTGACAGCTTAAAGTGTCCTTCAATCTGAACTAATCTAGATGCATAGTCTAGGTCAGGAGTTAACATTTACATTTAAAACAAACTTTCAATTTAATGGCAATCTTGTGATTTAAAAGATATCCTCAATGTGATGTCATCTGCCTACACCTTGAAAATTGATTGTAAAATCAAGCATATCAGAAACACCTGAATGCAAAGTTTTGCTCAAAGCGTTGGTCAACATTTTAGTAAAGAAGCTCCCATAGGCTTGTTTACTTGTTTTTTTTTTGTTTGTTTGTTATTATTTCTAATGAACCAGAACATAATTGAAGGGGTTGAATAACCAAGTACTGTATAGTTTTTTAAAAGTCTTTTTAGTCATTTTTTTACCATGGTTCAGTTTTATTTCAGTTGTCTTGTCCTTACTCTGCTACTTCAGATGCAACACTTTGGCACATCACTGCAAATACTTTTTTGTGTTAATATGCTTTCTAAAAAACTTAGACCTAGATGAGGGTTAGATAAGCAATAAATGCACCACACACCTTTTGAAAATGATCTGCCACTTTGCATCGGTCTAAAATCCTTTCAGTTATGTGGAACTTTGTTGTTTTAACAGAAGAAGTTTAGGAGGTGTAAATACTTTTGGGATGTATGTTCTGCAGTTGTTTGAACATGTATCATCTGTACGGTCCTTTGCAGATCGAGCATCCCTGCAGGCGCTCAGCTGTGTGGAGAAAATGCTGGAGCTGATCCTGGACCTGCTCTCCAGGGTTTGCGGGGCCCAGGCTGGAGCAGCAGCGAGGGGAGGGCTACATCGTTTCGGCCGCCTTCTGGGCAGACTGACGTGGCCACGCACCCTCCATCACATCTACCTCCTCCTGACAGGGCAGCAGCCAGCACACTGATGGAGAGGAGATTCTTCTCTTCCCCACGCAAAGGCCTCTTTGAGACGAGAAAGAGTTGAACTGGCAGCCTTTTTTTCCTCTGTGTTCATTTAGCTTTGGTGGTTTCAGATTGTTAGGGTGAAGCAATCAATCTGATTTTTTCATATTTATCAACTGCTATTGTACCATGAACACCACCCAGACTGTTTATTTTGTTGAGCAATTTGAAAATAAAGTCTCCTTTACTTTAATAAAAAGATATTTATTAAATGAATGTATCATTTATCAAAACAAACGAGAATCTTTAAATAGAAAATTAAGTTTAATCATATCTCTGAAGTGTCCCCTTTTCCCCTTTTTGTAAAGCATGGATCTATCAGGATGGAGTCTTTTTACTGTGATGTCAGTCTAGTCTCATTTAAATCTTACACATTTAGAATAAAATTACCGCCTGAGCATCAAAGTCCAACAATCTACACATAATGGATCCATTCAAAGGGGCCTCAAATTAATGGAATTAGATGAATTAATTAAAAAAATAGGTTGGTCTAATCTGCTGTTGGAAAATAGATCCAGAACATGAAACTTTTTTTTATCTGATAAAGAAATATATTTATTGGATCAAAGCACTTCCTAATTTGGTAGTATGGGTTTAATGCAAAGAATGTTTACTGACAGCTTAAAGTGTCCTTCAATCTGAACTAATCTAGATGCATAGTCTAGGTCAGTAGTTACCAAAGGGGGGTGGGTGCCCCCTAGGGGGAGCTCAGTCTCATTGCAGGAAGCGTGGTAGAAATAAACTAAATAAATTCACCATTTATTAATTGATAATATTTTGATAATAAATTCTAAGCCCTACTAAACAATAAAATAAACATTTACATTTAAAACAAACTTACAATTTAATGGCAGTCTTGTGATTTAAAAGATATCCTCAATGTTATGGTGAAGTAAGTAAAATCCTCCTCAGGCTGATACTGAGACAGGAGCACACAATCATATACGCACATATATACATATTTTTAAATATTTGTGTATGAATTTTTGCATTATTGTGTCTTTTACAATAATGTCCATTTTTATTCTAACTCTAACCGAACCACTAACATTCTTAATATGTTTTTTTATTGGGTTATTTTAGCTCACAGATCGATGTTCTTATTGATTAAATCTACTTTAACCTGACAAACTCACACAGGCACATCCAGCAACCTAAAATAAAGCATTTAGTTTTAATTGAATGTTCCTTAATTAACGTTCCTGGTCTAATGATTTCTTTCCCTCATGGTTCCAGTTGCCCTTCCTGACCCGGAGCTCCTGTTCTGGATCCAGGAACTGGGTAATTTTAATCTAAATTTTAATAACATCATGAGAGGACTGAGGAGGAGGATAAGGAGGTTGAGAGAACAGTTACACATTGAGGAGGTGGAGGAAGATTCTTCTTCTGATGATGAGGAGGAAGTAGATGCTGAAGCAGTAGTGGTGGAGGAGAATGAGGAGGTGGAGATACAGGATTTTGTGGAGGTAGAGGTTGAGGCTGAGGCTGATGCTGAGGTAGAGGAAGAGGCTGAGGATGAGGATGATAGGTCTTTTTCTAGTGAGTTTTTTTCCTGTGAGTCTCTTGAGGTGTCTAGTGAGTTGTCCGGATATGACACCACAAGCTCTGAGGAAGAAGACAATAAAGACGATGGCCACCTTCCACCTCACCTTCGGTTCACCCAGAGGATTCCCCCCGACTTCAGACTCCCATGGAACCACGAGGAGCCGGAGGAGTCCCCGGACTGCCAAGAAGACCGTGCCTCCAGGAAAAGGAGAAGAGACGAAGATGAGGAAGAGGAGCCCCCTGGGAAGAGGCCTTGTGGTGAGAGGCATTTTTGAGAAGAGGGATTTCATCAAGAACCTTCCTTTAACTCCTTCAACTGCTTCTCGCAATGAAGCGAAGCTGAGGATTAAGATGAAGAACCAAACCCTTCATCATCTTCCTTTGGATCATCTTGTTGTAGCTGGATCTATTTTATCGCTGATTTGGTGACTTTTGGAGGTGGGAAGGCTGAAGAACTGGAAACAGTCACACCTAGATATATTTTATAGATTGTTTTTATATCTGGCAGGTCTAGGGATGCCTTAGGTAGCATCTTGCACTGTGGCTTTTCTTTACCCCGCTGCTAGATCTAGTTTTTTAGATGCTAAGGAGTCTGGCAAGTCTAGGGATGCCTTAGGTAGCGTCTTGCACCCTGGCTTTTCTTTACCCCGCTGCTAGATTTTGATGTAAGTTTTAGATTTTAAGAATTTCCGTTAGCACAGACATCTGAGGAGATGATAACAACTAATAAAAGGTGTGGAACATGAAAGCTGGTTAAGGCAGAAATAGTCTAACATGCTCTACATCTAATGTGAACATTCTGCTAGATAACAGAAGGCAACCCAAACAGTTTTGACAAGAAGAAACACAGAATGGAGGCAAATATATAGATAAAAAACACAAAAAGACAGAAATTAAATCCTGGTTAAAAGATCAACCACAAGGAGGCAAACCAATTCAACGAAACAGCTGGACATCACTGCTGAGGACAATGGAGGAGGTCAAACTTAAACCCTAAAGGAGAAAAACAGGAAAGAATGGAACAGAGACACAGCTTGTGGTGACCATCAGTTGAACTGGTCTCTGGGATGTTGGTGAGAAGGTAGAGAGATGACGCTTGGTGGGACTAATTGATTTAGACCAGTTAGAGGCAGAGGACAGGACTGATGTGAGGATTTGAGTTAGGAGAAGCACCGACTGTTAGAAACGGCTTTCCGATGTGACTTGGTCTAGTTCTAGATGTTCCTCTGGTTAGTTAGTTTTCAGGCCTAGTTGGAGGGAAAAGAACCCTCTGCAGAAATATTCTCCATATCATCTAGGCCTGTCCTGACCGCAGTGGATCTCTTCTGTGTTTTTTGAATCCCATGTTGGACCGAGCCTCTCCAAGCTTTGGGCCATCAGAAGATGCTGATGAGATCTGCAGCGACCAAACCAGAGGAGGATCGTCTGGGCTGCTGACCTTCACAAAGGGTGAGAGCATGTTCAGTAAGGAGCAACAATAATCCATCTTTTAAATATATAGTTAACATTTCAGGTGGCCTCACTTAGTTTTTCATGTATGTTCAGACACTGTGGACGTCCAAAAGCAAAACTCCTGTGAGGAACCAGGACATCCAGGATGGTGAGGAGCTTCCCAGTCCCCACCTGAGGACGGCACAGAGAAAGACTGGAACAGAAAACACACGGAGTAAGCCTTCATTAACACGACAAACCGACAACTCAAGCTTCCCAGGCCTGATTAAAAGCTAACAGTCATTGAAACACAGGAAATGCAAGATTATGATGAAAACAACATCCTGCCCCAGATTTCAACTTGGTATCGAGGAAATTCTGTTGATTAATTTGTCTTATTTTTTACAGGGAAAGCAGGTTGAACATGGAAGCAGTGTTCTAGCAGTCGGATCACATTGGAACAGAGTCCATCCACACATGTTTGGAGGTATGTTGGTTGTTGTTTGACTAGAGAAGCATCACATGCAGACAGGTTAAGACTCAGAGGATGCTTTGTTTTCATTTATGAAGGAGCTGAAGAAGAGGATGGAGCACACAGTCCACTAAGGAGGAGAAACATGGCTCCTCTATTTGTCTCTCCAACATTCTAGAGTCTGAAAAACATTAACGACCTCGCAGCTAAACCATCAGTCTGCTACACCCAGGAGAAGAAGGTAACAAACCTTTATTGCTTCCAGATGTTCATCAATATTGGTGAAGATACTAAAAATAGATCCAGAACAAACAGATGCAAAAGCTACAACCATCCCATCAAGGTGGTCTAACCTTTAATCTTTATCTTTCCATCATGAATGGATGTTCACCTCTATTTGTATCTCTGTAACCAAACCTTTATCAGAACCAGAAGTTCTGACGTTTCCATTAGACCACAGATAAAGAGTTAGGAAGCAGCTTCTGATCCAATATGGGAGAATTCCCCCCTGGTTGATCTCTGAAAGGTTTTTTAGAACTTATTAAAGCAGAGAAACGACCGACTGAAGACTCCAACAAATGCAGCATTTTCAGGCATTTTCTCCAAGCATCCATTGTTTATAGTTATCACTTCTGTTAACTTTAGCTTCTCCCTGTGTGTTTCCCTCTTCTGTTGGTTAAAGTTAAACCTCTCTCAGTGTTTATGTGTTTAAAAGTCACAGACTAGCGTGTTCGTTCACTAACTCCTGTTCTTCTTTTCCAGATGAGGTCATCTGCTCCTTGGACCGGCGCCTCTGTGTCTGTCGGCCGTCTGCTGTCCTGTTAAAGACCCGCTCAGCCGCAGTAGATGGACGCCGACATGGAACCGGGGTCTGCTGGAGGTTCCTTCCTGCTTGAAACTGGTTTTCCTCTCCACTGTGACTTCATTGCTCAGGAGGAGGCACTGCAGCAAAATGGACGACTGGATGTGATTGGCTGTGCTTCCTTGGATTGAAGACATTTCTCTGAACGCCATGATAAACTGAATTTATCTCCGCCATGTTGTAAATAGGATCTAATTGGATGTTTGTGTTTAGATGTGATTCTGTGTTTTTGTTGACTTCTGTTACATGTTTCTGTATTAAAATTGTCATGTTAATTGCCTTTAGATGACATTTGCTGGGACTTGTTTCTATTTTAAGACTGATTTATATTAAATCCCCTACTGGGTCTGGTTCTGTTTAAGTATGCTTCCTGTCGTTTTATCTTCATCTGTTATTTCTCACTATAATAAAGGTTTTGTTGCAGTAATGTGAACAGGATCTGTTTGTATTTTCTGGTAAATTGTCTTGAAATAAGTGGCTGTAAATTGATTCTTTATAAATAAACCAAACTGAAGCGAAATGGAGCAAGAATTCTAATATTACTATAGTCCAGCGCTTTGGCAGATTGGTGGTTATTATTGTTTCTCTGTTGGGGGGTCTGACCTGACAGCTCATGTTAACAGAATAATTGAGCATTAAAAAAGGACAGTGAGACGTTCCTCCTGCAGTTCTTCTCATTTTATTGACCTTATAGACAATCTGGGAGTTTTAGCAGCAGAGCAGAAGGGACACATCAACACTGAGCCACACAAAGAACAACAAACAAATATGGGAGGATAATTAAAGATTAGTGTTAAAATAAAACAGGAAAAAATTCAATCAACTAGGAAGAGAGCAGGAACTAAATGTTTAATGAACCCAAAGGCAAACAGCTTTGGTTAATTAGAATAAAACTTGGTTTTAAGGTGATTTTCTCTTCTTTAAACTATACATTTATATCTCTACCATACTTGGTCCCTCAGGGTTGCATAGCTCACTCCTTTTAGCAGAAACCAACTAGTTAATGTTTCCGGCTCTATATTCTATCAGAGGAAAAGGGGAAAATGGATTTAAATGGATTGATGATCCTAAACACATTTAAACTGGTTTTGGAATAAATTAAGCAGCTTTAAATGAACATCTGGAACCTCGGCCATTGTCATGTCTGGATGATCACGTTTAAGGCTACGTTCACACTGCAGGCATTGACGCACAGTTCAGATTTTTTTTAGGAAATCTGATTCTTTTGTGTGGTTGGTCTAATTTCCAAATATGTATTCTTCTGTGTGAACTGAATTCATTCAACTTAAGTGTCACAAGGGAGCGTGTTCTGTGTTTACGGAAGTAAACATGGAAGGTAGAGCTGGAGCGCATTTGCAATCTTTCATTTCTTTCCCAGCCTCAGCCCGCCATTTTGACCCGGGAGCAGAAATACACATTATACATTTTCTTATTTCAAGTGCAGCACTTGGGGACATTCTTGGTCTGGACTGTTGAACCAGGTAAGTGACCAACTCAGATAATCTTCTGTCAGATGATCGTGGTCACTTACAGTGATGGGACTAACGGCGTTGAAAGTAATGGCGTTACTAACGGCATTACCTTGTTTTAGTAACGAGTAATCTAACTAATTACTTTGACTGTAACTATAACGCAGTTACCATTGCAGACACCCCGTTACTGCGCGTTACTCAGGTCGCACAATGAACCTTTTTTTCATGATAGGACTCGTGCGCGCGTCATGAGAGAGGGGAGGATGAGAATGGCTGATGTATAGTGAGATTCCGCCTGTCAGTTGGGTAGGTGGGTGTTTCTGCTGGTGGGTGTTAACGCACAGCACACACAGAGAGATGGAGAGTGAGGAGGACTCCAGCAGCAAAACAGCGAGATAGATAGATAGATAGATAGATAGATAGATAGATAGATAGATAGATAGATAGATAGATAGATAGATAGATAGATAGATAGATAGATAGATGTTACAGTATCTATAACAACCCAAACACACAGGATATCAGGATTAGACATCCCCAATTATTAATTTTATATACTCACCAGATCTGAAGGCCCTGTTAAAAAACTTCACATGGCGTTCCCCCCTGATGTCATTTACGTTGAGTTGCAATAAATGCAAAACTCTCTGCAGGTTCTTGTCTTTGTCGTTCACTCTATTCAGCTGGCTTTGGAAACACATGGCGAGAAGGTGGGGGCCGGGTGGTGAGGGTTACTGGGGCGAGAAACGCAAAAGTAACGCAATACTTACTTTTACTAGTAACTAGTTACTTTTATTGTTGAGTAACTCAGTCAGTAACTCAGTTACTTTTTGGGAGAAGTAACTAGTAACTATAACTAATTACTTTTTCAAAGTAACGTGCCCAACACTCGTCACTTACCTGTGTTTCTCCTACAGGGTGTCTGAGATTGGGCGGTGCCCCGCCCCCTCGCCTGCAGTGTCCACAAGCCACAGCTCTGCTTTTGTTTTGTTTGTTTATTTAATAAATGTTTTGAACTTTCCTACTGACTGTCTCTCCTTGAATACTGGGTCCATCTGTCCGTGCTTCATGACAGAATGATCTGGCCCTGAATGCTCAGGCTGAACTCAATATAAACCAGAGGAAACAGGTGAGAGGAATAAATTATAATTGAGGCAGGAAAGAAAAACGGCAGGTGAAAGGAAGAACCAATTAAGCAGGAGCAAACAGGCCAGATCATGACATGATTTTCTGTTTCTGTATTAAGAACTACAATTGTAAAGTTAACTTCTTTTCAGAAATTGCTGTTTTACCATTTTCATAAGGAGAAATTTACTTTCCCAGTTTTTGAATCTAATTCTAAAACTGATTTCATCTCTGTATTTCTTTTATACCACAGAACCCGATAAAGGGTTAGATATTGAAAAAAAAATGTCAATTTTTTGTTTAATCAGTGATGATAACTTTCAGTTTTGTTCAGAAGATTTTCATATCCAAAGTAACATTTTGAATGTTATGTGAACAAATAAACACACAAATGTTCAACTTGCCACTGAGTTGCTTTGTGAATAAAGGAGAAAAAAGGAACTATATTTGCCTTATTAAATAAGCAAGGTCATAGCAGTCATTTCAAAAAAAAAAAAAAAAAGAAATACAATCTTCAAAGATACAAATTATTTACAAAGATACTGAACAAACAGTACAAACATCTATAAGTCACTACAACTTATAGACTAGTTCTAATACTAGTTCTCAAATGCAAGTACAGATCTATTGCTTGGAAACCATCAGATGGGAGCTGCAAACGTGACTCCACCATCAGAAAGTTGCAGAGATTGTTGATGTCTGTGTCACATGGTGTTGCTTGTCGAAATGTACAGCTTGTAATGCAGAGTTGAACATCATCACTGTTTACTGGGGAAATGTAATCTCTGGATGAGTAGAGGTCTGGAAACCTGTACATAACTTTAGGTCGGCCACTTGGTACTCTGTCATTTTTTGATGGTCGAATAATATGTGAATCCCACACGGAGGTCATCTCATCCAACTCATCCTGATAAAACAATGAACACAGAGTCAAGTTAGTTATGACATTACAAAATGTGTCCTTATACTTTTTATTTTAGTAAGAGAGATTAAACAGGGATGGTCATAACTTAGAAACGATAAGAATAACATAATTCCCTAATTTCCCAGTACATGGACATCAACAGTCTCATTTTCAAACCAATAGAAATAATATGCACTATTGCATAATGCCAAGCAACCATAAAAATAATACGTATATTAAGGAAGTTGCCTAAAAAAGTTGCTGCAATATTAGGAATAGGCATGAGCAATCAGTCAAGAACTTGTTGGTGGTCTAAACTCAGGGAAGTGGATTTCAGCTTGAGCTGCAGTTTTCCGCTTGATCCTAGAGCTCAACGAATGTCTGTGTACTGTAGCTTACATGGACGTAATTTTGGGGGTGGGGGTTGGGGGGGACATGTCCCCTGCACTTCTTAGTGTCCAAAAACAATGTTATGCTCCGGTACACCAACACTCGTCGAGCACCAGCACTAAGCAGAAAAACACACCTCAACTTGAAGCCTGCTTCCTTGAGTTTAAACCGCCCACAAGTTTCTGATTAGCCCACTGTATTTTCTTGTGTGATTGGCTGTCACCGCTTTAAGTTCTGAGAAGCCCCCTTTACAAGCTTCTGAT